AAATTTTTCCCAGTTTTACCTTGAATTTTAAGCAAATATCAGTTCCATTTTGACCAACTTTGGGCAAATATCTGTTCCAGTTTGACCAACTTTGACCAACGTTTGAATTATTGGGGGGGGGGGGGGTTACACCCCCCGCACACCCCTATAGCGACGTCCCTGAATATACTTTTCTTTAACAGAATTTAACAATAATCTTCCTGCAGAAAATGCCAATTGAAACTTACAAATGTCTAACCTTCGTGATCGGTATGAATGGATATGGCCTTCAAATTCGAATTACACGCTGCATTGTCATTGGTCGGCTTTCAAAACAACAACCTCGGAAGGTTAGACATTTGTAAGTTTCAATTGGCATTTTCTGCAGGAAGATTATTGTTAAATTCTGTTGAAGAAAAGTATATTATGTAAAAATTATTGCTCTTCCGATGTAACGTAATTTGGCGAGGATGCGACAGCCGAAGTTCGCGTTATTCGACTGATTTCTGTCAGCGCTTGTCCAAATTAGTCCAATTAACGGCCAAAGTGACCAGCCTTGTATTGATATTCTTGCTGTTAAATGTCAACCCCAACTATGGCCGTTAACTCCTTTCTTCGAATTCTTGGCCGGTTCTCGTTAAAATCTTTCAGGAAATACATGTAAGTGCTTTTCATTATACTATTATATAAAGATATAACGTAATAAATTGACAACACAAGATTTTCTAATGATTTTCAATATACTATTTAGTAATAACACAGGGTAAGATTGGGCCGCCTGTGATAAAGTAATAACACAGGGTAAGATTGGGCCGCCTGTGCTTGCACTGATTATATTGTGTACTTCAAAACTACAGTAGATTTTGTATATAACATTTAAAAAATATCAATTAATACTATTGAATTCGAAATTTAATACAACGAAATAGCATTCTACGTTCGATAAGTTCAATCATAGTTGAATAATTATTTTCAATCTATTATAGTAATTCACCGTTTCCACGGGTTTTTATACTTTCAAAACGCTACAATAAATACGCTAAATTTGTAGGAAATAACATTATTTAGTTATAAAATCGTAAAGGAAATGCAAATCTAACAGTCAATCGCTTTCGATAAAACCTTGACCTTGTTTATATTACCGTCGCTTGCAACTAACGATGAACAGTCACTCATAAAAACATTACCCTATTCGCGTGAGAATCTTATTTTGACATAATAGCTATTTTTCAATAAATATATTGATATTAAACGTATTGAACCAATATTTTAAGTTTTAGCCAGTTGTACCAAAAGTTAGAAGTGCTAACGCATCATAAGGTTTTGTGGTTTTAATCATAGAGATTATAAATAACACTTTGGGGTACTCTTTTGAAAAGGACGTGAAAAATTGAAGCGATCTGAAAATATATAACTGTAAATTAAATTATAATGATTATATTCACAATTATAATTATAATTATACAAATCCCTTAGCCACAGCGTATACAATCTCGGAATTGGAAAAGGCAGTACCCCAAAAATGGCGGCGTGAGAAAAGCTAATTTGCTCTGTGCAACAGCCGTAAATTATTTTTATAGTTATTTTATATTGCAATATATATCCTGTTATTGCAATATAGCGTTATTTATATAATTTCTATGGTTTTTATGGCATGCAACATGTACGCACTGCGTACCTATTTTTTATTCTTCTGCCTAGCCTGCGTAGCATGCGTTTAGTGCGGGCGGGAGAAGAGAGGGCGTCGTTAAATAAACGCCTGCCCAAATGCCTGTGATTAATTTGTACTTCTCCGAAGAATTTTCGGAAAAGCTTCCCATTGGTCAATCTCGTTAACAGGAAGTAACTAGAAATACATGCATGCAGTAACCCCTCGCCAATATTGCCATACATTAAACATGAAGTATTCAGAAATGACCAGCACTGAACGCAGGCTCGCTCAAGTGTTGCCATGACAACACGATATTCTTAAATTTTTATTTTCATATATTTTGTACAAAACTGCAAAATAGTTGACAGATTCGTACTTTTAACTATACAACAATAAATTTCCGAAATACATACTGTAGGTATATTATTTTGCATTTTGTGAGCTTTGATTTATTAATGTAAAATTTAACTTGATATGCTTCGTAAAATGTTTTGAAATGTTCATTCAAGTAAACCTACATTTTGCCGATAAACTGTTTTTACTTAACAAAGCATGGTATAAAGTTTAATACAAATAAAATAAAATTGTTAGGTAATTTCAGTTCAGTTTTTAAATCAATTTGTTCGTCTTCACATTTTAAGATTTTTTCTCAAATTAAACGGTAATTTATGAAACTTAGAGCTTCTATAGTTCATGTTTTTTATTTAATACGTAAAAAGTTAAAGCAACAAAATTCGTAAACATTTAAAAAATATTCAAAGCAAACTTGCCGTATATTTCACGATTTCCCGTAGTAAACCAATTCTTCTCATTTCTTCAAACAAAATTGCTTCAAGCTTGTTGTATATGAAACGTTTTTGCAAATATATGTCTTTTAAAATTGAAATTTTGCTTGCCATATTTTTGAGATAAGTGAGAATGACCACCCACTCAAGATCGTCTTTCGTTGGTCAGCGCCCGCGATGATTGATGAACTTTAGACTTCGCTAATGCTTTCGTTTCCCCGGGTGTAAATAGCCGGGGGGAATTAGTACCCTCGCACGGCGCTCCGCGCCGCCGGCTCGGGGATTACGTAACTCAAATGTCACCAATAATTTTGCCCGCGTATCAAAAATATGCCGCCTGTTAATGCTTTTCGAGGGAACTCTGATATTAACTCTGATATTTCAGTATTTAGGCTTCGAAATTCAGTTGAAATCAGAATAGAGAAAGTCTGTTATTAATTTGCTACGTGGTGAAGACGCCGGTTATCGCGATTCTTCCTACAGAATACGGAAAATCGGCAAATCAAAGCTTTCCCGAATATTCCTTATAGTTGTCTTGTTATTTGTTCACTTTAAGGTATAATTCAAGACCAGATAGTTGAGGCTACATCACTTGGCATTGCAGCTATGAGGTTGGATGATGATTTTAAGAAAAACGTTTCAAAACATGCTACACTGTTATTTGCAGTTAATTTGCTATACGGCAGAATACGTTAAACAACCGTGGTTCAGGAGCCTTTTAAAAGATAAAAGCTCTGTGTTGGGGGGTAGATTTTCGAGTTAAGCCCTTTTCCAGTTAAGCCCCTGCCACGCCCTTTTTTGCCGGGGGCTTAACTCGAAGTCAATTAACGATTTAAGCATTTTTAAATAAAAAACTTAAAAGTGTCGCAAAACAACAGAAAGTACACATTTGCGATCGCAATTTGCAACGTCGTATCTTGGACATATTTTGACAATTTCGACTGTTATTGAGACTATTTAAATTGGATTTCATCCTAAATAGTGTATTCCTGACATGGAGTCAATTTTAAGCAAAGATTTGCGGGTTGATAGGAGATATTTTATTACTGTGTGCCTTGACTATTGGCGAATTATATATCTATATATTTCATGCAACATGAATCATGATTTCTCAATTTTGACCGATGCATTCGCATCGCTGGCATCGGTCTGGATCCGCCCCTGGAGGAACCTTGTCCTCAGTGTAAAGAACATTGTCCTCAGAGTGAGGAACCTTGTCCTCAGTGTGAGGAACCTCGTCCTCAGAGTGAGGAACCTTGTCCTCATAATGAGGAACCTTGTTCTCAGTGTGAGGAACTTTGTCCTCAGTGTGAAGCACATTGTCCTCAGAGTGAGGAACCTTGTCCTCACAGTGATGAACCTTGTCCTCAGAGTGAGAAACCTGCTTTCAGAGTGAGGACACTTGTCCTCAGAGTGAGGAACCTTCTCCTCAGAATGAGGAACCTTGTCCTCAGAGTGAGGAACCTCGTCCTCAGATTGAGGTACCTTGTCCTCAGAGTGAAGAACCTTGTCCTCAGAGTGAGGAACCTTGTCCTCAGAGTGAGGAACCTTGTCCTCACAGTGAGGAACCTTGTCCTCAGAGTGAGCAACATTGTCCTCAGAGTGAGGAACCTTGTCCTCATAATGAGGAACCTTGTTCTCAGTGTGAGGAACTTTGTCCTCAGTGTGAAGCACATTGTCCTCAGAGTGAGGAACCTTGTCCTCACAGTGATGAACCTTGTCCTCAGAGTGAGAAACCAGCTTTCAGAGTGAGGACACTTGTCCTCAGAGTGAGGAAGCTTCTCCTCAGAGTGAGGAACATTGTCCTCAGAGTGAGGAACCTCGTCCTCAGTGTGAGGTACCTTGTCCTCATAGTGAAGAACCTTGTCCTCAAAGTGAGGAACCTTGTCCTCACAGTGAGGAACCTTGTCTTCAGAGTGAGCAACATTGTCCTCAGAGTGAGGAACCTTGTCCTCAGTGTGAGGAACCTTGTCCTCAGAGTGAGGAACCTTGTCCTCAGAGTGAGGAACCTTGTCCTCAGAGTGAGGAGCCTTGTCCTCAGAATGAGGAGCCTTGTCCTCAGTGTGAGGAAAGTTTTCCTCAGAGTGAGGGACCTTGTCCTCAGAGTGAGGAACCTTGTCCTCAGAGTGGGGAACCTTGTTGTCAGAGTACGGACCCTTCTCCTCAGTGTGAAGAACCTTGTCATCAGAGTGAGGAACCATGTCTTCAGAGTGAGGAACCTGACTTCAACGTGAGGAACATTGTCCTCAGAGTGAGGAACCTTGTCCTCAGAGTGAGGAACCTTGTCCTCAGAGTGAGGAAACTTGTCCTCAGTGTGAGGAACCTTGTCCTCAGAGTGAGGAAATTTGTCCTCAGAACGAGGAAACTTGTCCTCAGTGTGAAGAACCTTCCTTCAGAGTGCGGAAACTTTTCCTCAGAGTGAGGAACCTTGTCCTCAGAGTGAAGAACCTTGTCCTCAGAGTGAGGAACCTTGTCCTCCGAGTGAGGAGCCTTGACCTCAGTGTGAGGAACCTTGTCTTCAGAGTGAGGAACCTTGTCTTCAGGGTGAAGAAGCTTGTCCTCAGTTTGAGGAACCTTGTTCTCAGAGTGAAGAACCTTCTCCTCAGTGTGAGGAACC